AAATTAAGCAACAACAAGGATGATTGATTAAGATAATTACTTTTGATCCTTCAAATTAAAATTACATAAATTTGATCATTCAAATTACATCTAAGTAGAAAAGTATTTTTCTTACATTCTAATTATCTTGAATTATCAATTTTTCCTTGGGCTAATGAGCTAATTAATAGGTGAATACATCATTATTTGTGGACAAGATAGAGTTTAAGTTAGGGATATTTGTTAAGTGCAAATTTTTTTTTGGAATTTCTCTATCTAAAATATTAGAAAGAACATTAATTTTAGTTAATGCTTAGTAGGATTGTTTCATTAATAATTTCTTACTCCAAATGTAATGATTCATGAATTTATTTCACAATTAGAATAATGGGTCAATAGGATTGGTTGATAATGTAATTTTTTACTCTAATATACAAAACAACATCATAAAATCTTTATTTAATGTATTTTCTATATACAATTATGGATATTACACTTATTATATTACTATGATTATATAGATAATGTTTAAAACTAATAGTTTTTATGAGGAATATAATTTTATTTTTAAGGATATAAAAGTTTTGATTTCTATCGACACTTTGATAATCTACAATTAAATAACTAAACCATTACCGCCTAACTACATAATGAAGTTACCTTTAGGAGGTTGGCTCATGCTTTTTTCCCTAGTGGTTGATTCAACACTATAGAAAGCATTATTTTTGGGAGTATTAACAATATTACCCAGAGTATAAGTTTTGATACAATGTCTACATTATTAAAGTTCTTAAGGCACAAAATGAAGAAATAATTCTTCAGTGACTGCATAATTACAATAAAAATAAAAATTATTTTGGCTACAAAAATAGAAAAAGTAAAAAGAGAGCTAATAAAGAAGTCTAGAATATAAAATTTTTAATCTAATTATTTAATTAGAATTGAATTTCTTTGATAGAAATTTTATAGGTGATTTTTATTTGCATGAGAGAAAATGAACATATGAAAAGTTGGATATCATGTGCCTCCCATACAAACATGTATTTGAAATAACTCAAGATTAGTGTTTCAACTACTCCATCTTATACCTAAAACTTTACACAAGAAGCATGATAGTCATATGCTAAAAATAAATAACCAACTAGAAATTAAGACACTGTTGAAACTCGAGCTTATGAGTTTATGTTTTTGATAATATATAACAAATATTATGGCTCACATCCTATTGTCAACTTGTATTTGAAATATATTTTTGTTTGTGTGTGTATTAACTTTTCAGGAATACCCTGCACCATCAGATAAAAATTCAAGACTCAAGATTGGGTAGAATAGGTTATTTTGTAATAATTTTTGTAATATTTATTAATGTATTTTTGATTTCTTAAGTCAAGTCCTATAAGGGTGTATGCTTGTTTGGTGATCATGCACACACACACTCAAGGGGGTGAGATTGAGTCAAAACCAGAAGTTCAAGTTTTGAACTGATCATATTGGATGATTTTGATCGTCCAAGATTATTCTTTATGATCTTTGAAAATAGCCGCCAATGATAATTAAGGAAAGGATTTAAGATTAAAATTTTAATCTAATCATCCCGGACGATATAGATCTTCCTAGACGATTAATACAAATCATACCTAAATTGATCATGCAGTTAAGTGACTAATTATGGTTAAATTATTCAATGAGATCATCTTAGAAAATTTGTATATCATACTAGATGATGTTTACCGACATATTTGATTTTCCTAAATCATCTAAGATGAAATACCATATTTTTTCTTCTAATCGTTCAGGAAGATCCAGAATTTCATCCGGGATGATCTGTATAAATTTGAACTGATCATCTAGGACTATCCTAACATCATTAAGGACTATCAGGTAAAATTCTACACATCATAATGGATGATCCTACGATTGTACAGGATGATATTTGGTACCGGAATTGAGTTTTTAGAGTTTTTTGAAGGCCTCTTTTTATCCACATTGTACAGGAAGATCCTACAATCATCCTAGAAGATCTTTGCCGCCAAGGTTAATTTTTAGGGTTTTTCTTTTTTTTTTTTTAATTGCAAAATGCATTAGAAAAAAAAAAAGAACTAATTAAAAGCTAAATGAAAGGCTCACATTCCTTATTCAATAAATAAGATGAAGAAGAAGGGATGTTAGTAAGAGAAAAACTATCAAAACAAAAACTATTCTCTAAAGCCAAAATAGCACAAAGATTGGTTACCTTATTACATTCTCTATGAACATGGTGGAAGATTACCTTATTAAAGTCAGCCAAGAATAATAAATCTTCATCTATCCAAGTGTTTTTCTTCCACTTTTCCTTATTCAAAGAATTTTGAATAAACTTGATGATGTTTTAGTTATCACCTTCAATTATTACTCCTTTACTATCTAACATCCACCTTTGAATGAACTTTCTTATTGACAAAACAGCCTCCATCTCAAGTTGTGCCACATCCCAATGAATTCTTTTTTCCCCAAAAGCAAGTAATAACCTTTCTTTGTGATCTCTAAAAATACCTCCAATTCCAGCATAGTTTGGATTTAAAAGAGACGCATCAACATTTATTTTGATCCAATCTAGTAGTGGAGGGTGCCAAAAATTTTTTATCTCCCTAAAGAGATTAGCACCCCATCTATCTATTATTGGATTAGCATGAATTATTGTTGAAGATAACACATTTGCTGCAATAACTGAGCTCGAAATAGTAGGCTTACCATGAACTTTCTCATTTATGTTTTTCCAATATAAGTATATTGTAGTACAGTACACCTTGCCATATTAGAAGATAAAATAGAAATTCTACTTAGTTCTCTCAAACATTCTTCTAAAGATTGAAAAGTAGGAATGTTAAATCCCCACTCTTGCAATTTTAGAAAGATCTTTATCAAATACTTACAATGGATTGCAATATGTTCAAAATTCTTAACTTCGTGACAACCTCTTGCTCATAAATCATAATTGATAAGTTTCCTATATTTAAGAAACTCATTCGTAGGGATTGCAAACTTGCTCATTATCCACCAAAATAGCTCCACCCAAGGATTCAATTTCAATTTTCTTAACCATTTTGAGAATCCAAAATCTCCCTCCCCAATGCCACAGTTTAAGGATTCTTCGTAAGACATAGCAGTAATAGTTTTACCTATATGATGGTATATCTCATCCATATATTCAGCTTCAGCATTATATTTGATAGGAATTTGCAAGATTAGAGAAATAAGATTCTAATGAAAGAACCAATGAAGTTCCTCCACATTCCATCTACAATTCATAGAAATGAATTAATTGAGCATTACATCTTCCCATCCCTCACAATTAGCAACTGTTGGCCAAGATCCCAAACTTTTATCTAACTTTCCATTCACCAATTAACACATTTAACCAAACTTCTCAAGACCATTTTAACACCCAGATAAAGTATTTCCTTGATTACTTTGAAACTTGAAATCTACTTGACTTGATTCTTGTTGGAATGGTTAGTAGCATTGCTAAAAAAGATTTGGGATTTTGATTTATTCCCCTTCAACTCCATCCAAGAACAAAAATCAGCAACAATATTCTTCAAAACTTTTGCTAGCTTTTTAGAAGATTGAGCAAAAATTAAAACATCATCGGCATATAAAAGATGGGTAAAATTTTTAGCTTTTGGTGTGATTTGAATTCCTAATTCTTGTCCTCTTTGTTCAATTGCATTTGAAAATAATTGAGAACACATGATAAATAGATAAGGAGATAACGGGCATCATTGACAAAACCCATTTTCCACCTTAATCCAATTAGAAACTTTCCCATTTAAAAGAAAACAGAATCTGACATCCCTCACACACTCCATAATAAGCAAAGAGATCTTCAAAGGGAATCCAAACAATTTTAAGACTTGATTCAAAGTCTCCCAACTCATGCTATCGTAAGCTTGCTCCATGTCTAGTTTAACCGCCATCATGCCTTTCTTATTTTTTAAAATTCTGAATTTGTTGAAGGCCACATGAGCTAACAAATGTTGACCTCATTATTCGAGGTCAATTTCCCTGGAATCGACTCTAGTACCTAGGTTTTCATATCCTAGTAAAGATGTCGCACCCGCAGGATTTCCCTTAGGTGGACACCTTGTGGTCCTCGATGTATCAGGCTCTA